CATCGATTTGAACTCTTGAACTCCTTTCTCTAGGCGAGCCTCCTTTTTCCGGGCTATTTTTTTCCTCCCTTGTGTATCCTTTCCTTTCTCTCCATGAATGCCAAAATGGTTATTTCTATTAGTCATATCTGAGTACCTATAAATTATTCAGAATGTGAAGATTCACTTATTTGCAAATCTGGCCCAGTCATTTTGCAACTCCAATCTCATGGCTGAATCTTTTTATAGAAGCAGAGATGTGATTGTAACAACATTTAATTTATAATTCAATAGTAATTTCTACAATTTGTTTCATGGGTAGGGACGTTGCCCAAAGTGAATCAAACTCGAATGATTACTTAAATTTCAAAAGCCAGAAAGTGCAACTGAGATGACGTACGCAATTAACAAATATGTTAAGATTATTAAATTAGTTTCTTAATCTAAGAAATTTTGTCAAGATAATGTAGCAAAATAATTTACAAGGAATTGCAAATTTCACATATAATATCAATCCTAATTAAAATCATTATTAGAGTTAGTCACCTACCTACAAGTTCCCTTGACAACTAAATATAGTTGGATAATTGTCCCGTACCATGTATACATATAACTTGTCAAAATAACAAATCATGTGATATCTTTTTTTTTTTCCTTTTTTCTGAATGTCCAAACCAGTTTGTACCCACCACTAATCTTACGGGAAGAACGACCTAACCTTACAATGGTTTGAACCATGAGCCCCATGATGCACCCATGATCTTCCCTTCAAATGGGAAATGAAAAATCATATTGAGTTAAAAGAGTATGAGAGTACAAGAAGACAAAGGATATATTTTTTCAAGATAAAAAAGACATGATATATTTAATTAAAAATAATATATATGGTAATTTCATTTTTGAACTTTGATGTTGTATCAACTTCAATGAAGTTTCATCATTGTTTATGTTAATGTGACACTAATTGGACTAATCGAATAAAAAAGAGGATACACTGGACAAGAAATTAAAAGACAATTTTAATCAAAATTTTCAAGTAACCACTGCCCCCTTTAATTCCATCCAAATAGCCTACTTTCCTATATAACATATTGTTAAATCATTTCTAGCAATCATCTTCAACCATTAAAATCCTAACCAGCCCCACAAAAAGGGATTCAAATGCAAATAATTGGTGATAAACAGCTTCTTTCTCCATCATATACATTATACAGCCCTTTGAGTTAGTGAAGCTGTTTTATCTATAACCATGAAAAAATCATACAACAGAACAACCAGGATGCTCTTCCCTCAGGGTTAATGGTACAAAATCAGACAATGCCCCATGTCATATGTACCTTAAATGCGCATCGATGATAGTAGCCTTCATGTACTGGAGCATTCCCGAAACAAATAAGGGGGGTGTCGATATTTTGCAGTGCATCGGACTTCAGTTCCTATCAGCTTGTAACAAAAAGCTTTGACATGTAATGCATAGTTAACAATTTAGTTGTAATGGATGGGTCAAGTATCAAAACCAGAGTAGATGCCACTTTCCCTCAACATTCTCTTTTCTTCCTCAACATAATTTTTCCCCCTGCTTGCTTGTCCAAGCTCTCTTTTCCTCTTTTCCTTCTGGGAGAAGGAAATATTCTTCTTCTCCTTTCGAGTTTGTGCAGTTAGCAGCTGCTCTCCGTTTTCTAATGCAGCTCTTGTTTTCTGTCTTTCTTCGTACGATTCTTCAGTCTCTCGATTTTCCCGAGTCTCCTTACCATTGGACCATGACCAATCTTGCTTCTCATTCTCTTTTGGTGGTGGCACATTCAAGACTGATGGTCCACCTTTGTAGCCATGGCGTTTCAACGCATTGAAGTCCACAGCAGTGCTCTTCCGCTTTGCAGATTTTACTGTAGAAATGAAGCAATAACCACTGAGAAAATATGAAGCACATGGATTTCTTTTATCATTTACAATACATCCTGAAAATATACAGCAAATTTTCCCTATTTGTTATGATCTAACTACATATTCAATGGGTCGTTTTCTTTAGTTCACATCCAAATCTTCCAGCCCTCCATGCTCATAGGACCACTTAAAGATAGAGAATATTTACAAGTCTCACAATATAGTCGAAAATCTAAGAGACATCATTTAAAAACACAACTCCTCCGTTTTCTTCAACTTCCATTTGAAGTGGCTATCTTCTAATTACTCTTGATGAACCAAAAGAAAAAATTTTATGATCTTCGTTAAGCGTGCCTAATCCTATCAGTTCAACCAGAATGAACTCAGGAAAACTTAACATGCCCGTAAAGGCACAAACCAATTACTTTAATCTTGTACAAATAAAGCCAGCAATCGAAAGCAATATACTTGAACAAAAGCTATGTTGTGTACTTCAAAGTTCAAACAAAATGGAGCATATAAAGAAAAATATCTAGCATTGGACATTGGAACTCTCTCATATCAGTGTATGAAACACTTTCTCTCTCTCTCTTTTTCAATCTGACAAAATACGGATAACTTTATTCACTGAAAACACAAAGCAGAACGAAGAACAAACAAATGGATTCCATGAAGCTTTATGTTAAAATTTCATTCGTATCCATGAGTAGCAGAGAATAGAAAAACGTTTTCCCAGGATGCAATTATAACCTTGAGTGTCTTTTTCTTTAGAGGAGCGGCCCCCAGCTTTAACTCGAAAGCTTGCTTTCGTCTCGCCACTATCTTCATCAGCGTCTGAATCTGACTGTGACAAAGACGAGTCTTTAGATGACGAATTGTCCTCTTCATCACTCCATGGCATCGGTCTTTTCATGGCAGAACAAGTCCAATCTGAAGAAAATTGGCCAACAAGGGGCTTTGTGGTTCAAGCCAATCAACCAGAATCCAGAGAATGATAAAGAAAAACAGAAAAAAAAAATCAGTAAAATAATTGAAGGGTTGTACTCCATCTCAACTCCATATCAGACGGTACCCATAAAACATAAAACAATGATTTCATTCGTCAATCAAGAATTAAACTTAACCCAAAAACTGCGAAAGAGAAATTGTTTAGAAATTCGTATAAAATTCAAGCAAAAGAGAAAACAATACCGAGCAGGAATTAGGAGGCTGAAACTGGCGAGTGAGGTTTGATTCGAAATTAGGGCTTCTGGAAATCCGGAAGCAGAAAATGAAAGCCCTCTTTTTTTCCCGATAGGTTCAGTGTTGAAGCCCTCTAGTTTTTTCTTCTTCTTCTTCTTCTTGAAGGGTTAGCTATACAAAATATCATTGATTTGAGATGAATGAAAAAAAAAGTTTACTAATTAAATTAAAATTTGACCAGATTAAATAAGTATTTATTTTGAAATCAAAATTCGTCTATTTACTGCCAAAACGAGCATAACTCAACGGTAATTGATAATTGATATATATCTTCAACCATGGGTTTATACTTTCCATTTTATTTATCGTTTCGAAAGTTTATTTTAACTCTTAACATTTAAAATTGTTTCAAAACAATCTCATTGTCTTCCCCACTAAAATGAAAATGAAAATATAACGTGACGATTAATCGAAAAACAAAGTTTACACATAGTCATATTTGGGTGGTGAGCCGTAAAAGAGTTTAATCGTTTTAGTCATATTCAAAATTGTCACGATTGGAGGGAGAAATATATTTAAGAGACAGAGTTTTGGTTGAAATGATGGGGGAAGCCACCTATGGTGAGAAAAGTCATGCATTGATAAGAAAAATCACAACTATTTTGACTCGGACACTAGAAAAGTCGAAAGAGAGAGGAGTCAAGAGAGAAAGTTTCTTAGTTCATGAGATGAATACTTTTATGAGAGAAAATTTGTGGAATGGTAGGGTTAATTGAAAGTGTGGGTACATGGAAGCTACGAGAATAACAAATTACAAGACTAACTGACAAAGTAAGATAATCTTCATCCTCGAAATGTAAAAAATCTGTCAAGAAATAATAGTTTCTAGGTTCGATTGTCTTGGATTTCTTTTGTTTATTTTTTCCCCTGCTCTATTCATACCCTAACCATTAATTATCGTCAATTGATTGTGGGATAGATGTCCCAAATTTTATCGGTTGATTACCCTTAAATTTTTCTTTTCCTCTATCTTTTGGTCATGAGGGGAGGAAACAATATATTACCCTAATTTCATAATTCCTTCCCATTCCCTAAAATTATACAAATCATTTCGAATGTGACTAACGATTCTTTGATTTTTTCTACCGCTCACCCACGACTTCATATTTCTATCTTCATTGTAAGCGTGGAAGATAATAAAATTATTGTTTTTTGAAACAGTTTTAATGATTAAAGATTAAAATGAAACTTTTAAAAAGATACAAGGGTGTAATTGAAACATATCTAAAGTTGAGGAACATAAATAAAATCTGGAACCATAATGTGTACCACTATTATTTTATTTTATAAGTCATTGCAACGTCAATTTTCTATCTTCATTTTAATAGAGAAGTTAATGGAATGTTAGTTTTTAAAAAATTTAAAATTTAAGGGTAAAAATAAAATTTTTGAAAGTTTAGGAATATTATTAAAATCTACCCTAAATTTTAAGAGTATTTTATATAATTTAACATTTTGTTTATTAAAATCCAAACATAGTGGGAAACAAAAATACCTCTATTTCTTATTTTACAAGAGGTTTACAAATAAAAATGTCTAATTTTTAGCTTTTTAGTTGAGTTACAAATTTGGTCCAATTTCAATTGGTAGTTCTAAAATTTATGGCTGGGTCATCTTATTTTCTTCTTATTTTTATTTTGTCATAAATTATAACAAGTAAAAAAAAAAAAAGTAGCTCGTTGTCACGTAATTTTTTTTCTATCAATATCGTAAGGCCGGGATGATTTGTAAAATTTGACTAAATCATAGGAACTAAATTGAAATTATAAATATTTAAAAATTGTGTGACTAGTTATCAACATTCTTGTGACTGAGTCAAGATTATTTCAAATGATGTATTATTGACATCCTTGGATCAAAACCACACTAATGTCCCAGTTTTTGTTTTTTTGCAATTTACTGCCAATTTTAACTTAAAAACTCTAGCACTCTTTCCGTAACTCAATAACACTTTGCCAGCTTGGGATTAGTTAAGCGATAATTGCCACCTGTCTTCAACCAGGTCACGGACTCGAATCCTCTCACCTCATTTGTTTGTACTAAAAAAATCTCTTTTTCTTTTAGTTGAATAATTGGTGGACGTAATTAAAATATTTAATTTCATAGGATGTTATTTTATAGCTTAATAAATTGAGTTATTTTCAGATTGACCAATAACATATATTACACATGTCAACGAAAATATAAATCAATAGAATGAAAATCTCTCTATTTTCTACACGAGATTGTAGGTTAATCCGCTCTGTATTTATGTTGTAATATTCTAAAAATAAATACTTATTACTTCTGCTAACTTGAGAATGGTTCAAAATAAGTTCAGAACTTTATTCCAAATTAATGGATCTGGACTTTAAATACTTATTACTTCTGCTAACTTGAGAATGGTTCAAAATAAGTTCAGAACTTTATTCCAATTTGGATCTGGACTTCAGATATATCATTATCTAAGCAAATACTTGAAATCAACTTGAGAATTTCTCAAGGTAAGAAGTATATTCTCTCAAATTCCTAACTAAAGGGACAGGTGAAATGTTATCCCTATTTTCACGTTGGGCCAAGTCCAACTAGCCTTTAAAATAGCCCATTTGGCCCACAAAATTTTAGCTTTTTTTTTTAATATTTATTTATTAGTACACAACTATTCAAATTACACAATTAACTTAACTTTTTAATTAACGATTTACATGATTGTCTAAAGTAGAATCCATTAGAAAAATTACTCATAACTTCTTTCTAACATATGTTAAATAACGATAAAAATTCAAATCAAATATAGAATAAATTTAAAATCTGTGCGGTTTCCTAATTTTTGTTTTGAAATCCCTAAAATGGTGCCGCCCATGTTTCATGAAATCCTTAATTTTATTTTGAAATTCTTGAAATCTCTAAAATCTTAATTTGAAAACTAAAATCCCTCAAACACCACCACACCACATAAGACTACATTTTTTCACTGATTTTGTTTTTTCCAAATCATAAAAATCGTATTAGAGAGTTGATTAGATTTTGATATATGACACAATACTTCCAGGTATATATTATAGAAAACCTAATAGTTGAGTATATACCACCAAAAATTATATATTATATAACCTAAAATATTTGAATATATACCACTAAAAACTATACATTATATAACCTTTTGAAGTAGTATAGGTTTATCATACGGTAAATTATGAGACAAAAATATATTATATAATGGTAGTTGGAATATATTCTTTAACATAATAGTATATAACAATAAAAAGTATATATTATATAACCATTTAGAAGAGTATATGTTTATCATACTATTGAAAAAAAAAGGTAAAAAATAAGAAGCCAAAAAAAATCGGTGAGAGAGGAATTTTTTAAATTTTGATTATAAAAGAAAGGATTTTGTATTAATTATGATAGGAAAAAAAATCTAGAATTTTTAGGTTGGGTCAAAGATTTGAAATCCAAATATGAAAAAATGGCGATAAAAATCAAATCTAATTATTTAAATAAAAAATAAATTTAATCAAATAAAACAATAATAATCGAACGAATTCTTGGGATTAATGAAAATTTAAAATATGAGAATCCAAATATGTAAAAATTTGAAAATTTAAGCTCTCGGTGAAATATAGCATTTAAAATGACCAAGAGATTTTTTCATTTTTTTTAGACAAGCACACTAAAATATGAGGTATATATAAGATGCTCATTTTTTTCCTTTCTTTCTTTTTATTTTATTTTATTTTATTTTTTGATAAAAGATTATCATTTTTTTTCCTTAAAGTTTACAAAATTAGCATATTAGTTTCACCAGATTTCACTTTTACCAATATACCCATCATATTACCCATCATATTGAACATTGGGAAAACTTTTTATTTTGGCACACATACTGAAATGGGGCATGAATGGAATAAAACACATACAATGGTCAAAGGCTTTCTCTTAAGAATTTCTTATAATTTCATTAGTTTCCTTAGAAATATTTATTAATTGATTGACTTAGAGAATTTTTAATCTTTTTTTTCTTTTGAAAAGAATTTTTAATCTAAATGAACTATTTGTTTAAAAATTTATCTAACTCAAAAAACTTTGTTTAACTGATTAACTCAACTCAATTCATTCTCATAATCCAATCCAATCATGTAATATCATATTAAATAGATCTAAATTGTTCAAAATTTGAAGGTTATTAATTTAGAGTGTGCTTGAAATTTTCTTTAAATAATATTGTTTTTATTAAATGATTTCAGAGGACTAAAAATGTTTTAAAGTAATTGATCAACAACAAACAAATTTGTTATTAAAAGCCCCTCTAAAAAATATGACCAAATGTATAATTAAAAGTATTTTTTACTAAATGGAAAAATTGCTTAAATTTAAAAAGTATGCCAAACCCACCACCTTTAAATATTTTTAAGGTTTAAATTTGTTCTGGTTCTTGAGTTTTAGAGATTATAATTTTAAAATTTCTTTTAAAAGGTGTATTTTAGATAAAGATTCAATGAATTATTGGAATTTCTATTTTTAAGCCATAGGGCCACGTGGAAATTTGTCTATATGTGTGAGGTGATTGGAAATAGACAGAAAAATACATGCAATAACCAACGTGCATTTATTTACATTGCAATAAATTAAATTTAAAAATGTGGGCAAATCATGAGGTTGTAAATGAAAGGACAAAACACCATAAATGCAAGTTAATTTTGATTGGAAAGTGATATAGATTTCAATAAATGTGTGGAATTTTTTGGATGAAGTCGAGATTTTATTTTTATGAAACGAAATTCGATTCTTTGTGCTCAATTAATTTAGCTCTACTTCAAGATTTTTTTTCCCCTTTTATTACCATTTACCATAAATATTGGGTAGGGAGGAAATAGACTATTCATTCACGACATATTCAATTGTATACACAAAATTTAAAGATGGACTCGTTCAATTACGTGGGAAGAGTGGAATTGTCCCTACAAGAAAGACATTATTTAAATGTCACAACTTTTGATAAAACACAAAATGAACATTCGATCTATATTTTTCGAAAGTTAATAAAAGAGAAAATGTTCTTTTTTTTTTCTTTTTTATTGAAGATATCCTTCAAAGGTTAATATTCTATGAAGGTTAATTACACAT